TCCACATCACAGTCAGAAGGTCTCGCAGGGTTTAGGGGTTTAGGGATTTAGGGTTTAAGGGGGTTTAGGGGTTAAGGGTTTAGGGGTTTAGGGGTTTAGGGTTTAGGGGTTTAGGGGTTTAGGGTTTAGGGTTGAGTGTTGAGGGCAAGCTTCCTGGACCCATCAGCACCCGAAACCCTAAACCATACACCCTAAGCCCCAATACACCCTCAACTCTGAACCCTGAACCCTAAACCCTAAATCCTAAACCCTGAACCCTGAACCCTAAACCCTGAACTTGAACCCCCAAAAAAAAGTCAAGCATGGGCCGCTGAAGCCCTTCGGCATTCCCCGCCAGCGCAGCCCAGTGCGTGGCGTTGTGCTTCAAGTCATCCTATTGTAGGATTCACGTTTGGGTTTAGGGTTTCGGGGCTAGAGCTCTTGGAGAGGCTGCTGGTACTTCAAACAATTCCCCGAAAGCCACAAAGCCCTTCTTTTGGCGGTGGAGGGCTGAAAAACTCCGAAACCCCAGCCGAAACCCTAAGACCCTAAAGAAACCCTAGGAGGGTGGGGCCCGTTGGGTCTAAGGTCTTGTGTCATCAAAGCCATGCCTGGGATGCCGGGTTTAAGGCTTAGGGGATGTAGGGTTTGGCGAGTTTGTGCCGGCATTGTGGCCCTAACCATGAACAGCCTTGGATTCCTAAACCCCCAAACACGCAAGGACTTCTGCGCATAGCAGCCGAAACCCTGCACTGCCCGGCACCCCAAGTCCCTGCACTCTGAACTTAACTCCAAAATAATCGGATAAACCCCCGTCAAACCCTGAACCCTGAACCCCGAAATCACCCAAATACACCCCGATTTAAACCCCTGGGTAGATCTCTAAATTAGGGTCCTCTTTTTGGGTCCCCAATATAGTATGGCATCCTTTTTTTGGAGGATCCTAAGAGGGACCCCAGTTTAGAGAACTACCCCCCTCGGTGCACCCGGCCTCCGCGTGAAGGTCTGCCTTGGCGTCGATCAGCACTCGGCAGGCGTCGTTGTTCATCAGCGCCACGCAGATCGACAGGGCGCTCATCCTGAGAGGGGAGGGTTTAGGGTTTAGGGTTTCGGGTTTAGGGGCTGTTCGGCGCTTCCAAAGAAAGGGGCCAGGATTTAGGGTTCAGGCTGTAGGCTGTAGGGTGTGGGGCATCGGGTTTATTTAGGGTTTAGGGTTTCAGGTTTATTTAGGTCCAAGGTCTAGGGCTCCGACCCCCCCAAAAAAAAATAAAAAAGAAAAGAAAAAGGAACTCCTGGAAGGGAAGTTGAAGAGCTTGTCGTACTTGGTGCTGCAGCTGTTCACCTCGGCTCGTTGCTCCAAAAGGCTCGCCACCAGCATGGGGCTGCCATCCAGGGCCGCATAGCAAAGCGGAGGCCAGCCGGCAGAATCGGGCTCTTGGATGGAAAGAAAGCCGTTCTGATACCTTTTAGGGTTCAGGGTCTAGGGTCTAGGGTTGAGGGTCTGGGGTCTGGGGTCTGGGGTCTGGGGGTCTGAGTCGGGGGTTGAGGGTTGAGGTTTGAAAGAAAGCCGTTCTGATACCCAGAAAGCAACCTTCGGTCTTCGGATGTTCTCGGGAGCGGGATTTGAGAGGGCTCCGTCTTTTTTGGAACTCCTTTTTCCGTCTGCGCTAGGTCGAGGGTTCAGGGCTTAGCATCTAGGAGATAGCGGTTTAGGGTTTGAGGTCGAGGATTCTGAGTTTAAGGCTCCTTTTCGTTGAGGGTTCCTAGGCTCCCGCAGTCCTGAGGTCTGGCACGGCACCCCCAAATCGAGGCCCAGGTGGAAAGGTGAACCATAGGGAATTAGAATGGGGCTCTGGGGTTTTAGGGTTTAGGGTTTAGGGTTTAATTAGGGTTTAGGGTTTATTATTAATTATGCTATGCTAGGAGTTCGTTTTGTAGGACGTTAGGGGAACACTGCTAGCTTCAACCCTAAACCCCTTGCTGGCTTTGCATCTTCATCCACAGAGGTGGCAAGGACATGACGGGACGAGAAGCGCATGGGAGCGCTACACCATATTAACATCTGGTTGCTTCTCAGGGCCTCCTCTTGCAGATACTCACCGACGGAAGCACCCGATTTTCAACTAAAGAGACCCTCATGGAAAGCCGAACCTTTACACCCCAAAGCACCATTCCAATCATTAAAACAAACGTAAACCCTAAACCCGAAGCGCTATACACCATAAACTTTAACACCGAAGCCATAAATTTTGAACCCTAAACCATTTACCCACAACAACCCCCCACAGGAAAGCCGCATGAAGCGCTCCACTGTCAACACCGCTGGGTCTTTCGTGTTCGAGACGAAGCCCGGCACAAAGTCCTCCACTTTTTAAATCCCCTGGCTTCTAGTAGTCAGGGTTTAGGGTTTAGGGTTTGGGTAAACCGGTCTAGGAGTCAGGGTTTAGGATTTAGGGTTCAGGGGGTCTGCTGGACCCTCAGGAGACCCATGGTCCTAGCGTTTAGGGGTTCGGGTTTAGGGTTGAGGGTTTAGAGTTTAGGGTTTAGGGTTTAGAGAGTTTACATTGATTGAGGTGTCTGGAGCATTCGGTGTTCGTATAGACTTTGCTTTGACATGTTATCCCCAACCCAGCTCAACACTGATGAAGGCACCCAATACTATGTGATCCTTTATAGGAACCTTTGCAAAACTCGGCTTAGACTCTGGGTTGAGGGTTTTACAATGGGGCATGGAGTATAGGGTTCAAGGTAGCACCGAAGCGTACACAAGCTCTGCACGGAACACGTCCAGGTCCGTCACTGTTTGGAAAAGACCCTAGGCGCTCAGCCCTCGGACAAGCGCTTAGCGCATTCAAGGGCTCGGGGGTTTAGGGTTTAGGGTTTTTTTTAAGTGCAGTAGCGGGGGCTTAGGGTTTAGGGTTCGGGGGTTTGGGTTTGGGATTTAGATCTGGCAACCCGAGGCCATACACCCTTCCACTCTCAACTCGAAACCACAGCCCGAAACCCTAAAAACCCCAAAACGCCCCCAAAAAAGCTGAAAGCCCTAAAAGCCCTAGAAGCCCTAGAGATGCCAGAAAACGCCCCCCAAAAAGCTGAAAGCCCTAAAAGCCCCAGAAGCCCTAAAGATGCCAGAAACCCTTCTAAAGCCTTAAAAGCCCCTAAAAACCCCGAACCCTCCCCCCCTCCCCCCTCTTCTGCAGGATCCTCCTTGGGCGCAGCTGCCAAGCCGCGGAGCTGCAGCCTCTGCAGGTTCAGCAGCATGCGGTAGTTGCAGAAGTCCTGGAAGTTTCGGGGTTCAGAGTGTAGGGTTTAGGCTTTAGGGTTTCGGTTGTAGGGTTTCGGCTTTAGGATGTGGCTTTGAGGGATAAAAGCTGCGAGGCTTTAGATTCTGAATGGTCTAAAGGTTTTTGGAACTTGGGGCTTACTTGGCTTTAAAGCGGCGTTTCGGGAGGAGTCCCTAAACCCTAAACCCTAAACCCTAGCAACTTTGGGTAGCTTGGGATCCTCCTGCAGCAGGAAGTAGTTCAGCTTGTTGGCCAACATGACACACAAGACCTCGGCCAGCTTGCACCGGTCTTCGTCCTTTCGAAACTGGCCTTCGCCCACAGGGATCCTGAGCCAGTCCCAATGAGGTCCCAGTGCCTGGTAGGAGCCGCTGTGGACTTCCTGGGCTCTTGTCGGGGAGCTGAAGTTAAGTAACCAGAATCAGGGAACCATACGACTTACTTTACTACTGCTTCCCACTATGGTAACTGAAAACTAAGCTCCTCAAACAAATAGCCCAGCTTCGATGGACAAGCCGGTCTTCCCTTGGAGCCTCAGCCCCTCGGCGGCGCGCTCTAACCTGCACCAGCCGCGGCTTTCCCAGCTTCATTCATTCATTCATGCATTGTACGTCAACCTGCACCGTACCCGAAGGTTGGTAGTTTAGACGCCCACCGGCTCCACCCAAGGTGGCTTCCGGGCCATGGTCCGCAATTGGATCTTCATGGCCGGGTCATAGGCAAAGGGCACATAGGAGTGCTCACGAAATGGCGCACGCCAGCGTGCGGAGCAGCAAGAAGCAGGCTCCTGCGGCAGGCATAGACACCAGTGCAAAGCAAACGGGGAGCACCGAGTGCTCCCGGCAGCGGCAAGGCCGAAAGAAGGCCCAAAAGCAAACCCGTGTAAACGAAGCGTTCCAGGAGCAGCCCTGCCGAAAGCAAGGCCCAGCATCCGGACACTGCGACGAATGAAGGGTCACTGGCCGAGACCGTAAATAAAGGTTCAAAGAGCCTGT